ACGACGTTGACAGGTCGATGCTTAAGGCGAGGCCCCGGCAATGGGCGGTGATGGGTGGAGAGAGACGGTGACGGGCGCTGCTAGGGTTAGCGGAGAGGAAAGTCGATGATTTGGGGAGAGTCAACGAAAGAGTAATCGCGATCAGACTTGGTGGAGAGTGGATTTCACAAATCACTGAATCAGGGTTAAGATTTGAAATCCTGTTTAATAGGCTGTCAAATCCACTCATGCGAAATACATTGATTTCAAATTCGATCCCAAATTAAAGCCCCAAACATGAGATTTGGATTTGTGATGGACTATATTTGAAATTCAAACCCAAATCCAAATTCCCAAACACACCGCTAATATTTTTAGGATAAGAGAAAGAGAGAAAGAGGGGGGAAAAGCATTATAAATTGATCAATTTTTTTATTTTACCGTTTAGAGGTTTCTTTGCAACTGAATGGGCTGATTTTCAGAAGGGTGTTTCAATTATTTTACATTTTGGAACGACATCGGGGGGTTAATTGAGAAAAGTGTGATGATTGAGGTGGTTTTATGAGACACTCCATAGTTGAGGTGATTTTATCTAGTTTTCAAATTGAGTAGGGTTATCTATAATATGCTTAAACTTGAGGGGGTTTTCTCAAATTAAAATAGTTAGGGTTTTTTTTTGAGACATCCACCATAGTTGAGGGGGTTTTTAAAATTAATCCTAATGTTATATATGTAAAATTATACATGTGTCAATTTAAATTTGATGGATTAGTTTTCCTTTTAAAATATTATTAATGAGTTGTTTTTTTTGTTATTAATTTATTGATTTGATATCATATCTTTAGTGATTTTTTTATAAAGAAGGGTTAATTAATGGTTCATTCATGTCTCTTTTTAAATTATATTAATAGATCATAAGACACCATAAAAAATATATAACATGTAATGATCTATAAAGTTAAAAACTTTCCTATTACAAAAATATTATCTGCTATCTACAAAAAATACACAAATTGAAAGTATCCTAGAAGGGTGTGTGTGTGTGTGTGTGTGGGGGGATAGGGTTATTGCTAATCTTATTAGATATTAATACCAATTAAAATTAATTAACAAATATATCCTAGCAATATTGATATTCAATTTGATATATGCAAGGATATATGAACAAGAGCAAATAAACAAGTGATAGTGCGCAAATGACAAACACAAACACAAGATATGATCACGGAGTTCGGTCCCCACGATCTACATCTCTGCTCTTCACATCGAGGAGATATCCACTCATAATCGGGTTTTCTACGCTCACCCGAATAACGTTTACACCTCACAATACGGTTTTTTAGTTCACCGAAAACTTTACAACTTACACACTTGCAAATACGCTTCACACCCTCTAAGTGTTGGCCTAGCCCGTGTCACATTCCTCAAGTGTTCGGAATTATTACCTCACTAGGCTTTATTACCGACCTCACTCCTTTTGGAACCGACCCCGTCTCTCACCACACACTTCTCTCGGTGTACAAGTGTAATACAATGTGCAACTCACAATAAAGTTTAATACAACAAATGTTTGTTCTCTAATATGAATGAGAACACAATATAATCTTAATCTCACAAATCACAATCCTACAACCCAATCTATGAAGTATGAAATCCTACAAGCTCAAATAGGGTGTGTGTGATAAAATGAGTATAAACAAAATCTAACTCAATTAGCAAAACTAGCAATGATGATAATATGATAATCAAAAGCAAATTGCTAGAGAAAAGAGTTAGAAAAACTTCTCTATAAACACAATAGAGGTTGATGAAGATTGAGGATGAATTCCTCAATTGAAAATGCAAGCCACCTCTTTGTAAACTCAAAACTTAAACACTTAAACAATCTTTTAAACACTTTTAAACTCTTCTTAAAAACCCTCTTAAATCGTTCTTTTGATGAGAACAAAATGGGTTTATATAGGAAGAAAAACCAATGCACAAAACCTAAGCAAAACTATCAAAAATGATAAAATAACAAAGACTGGAAATATAGCCGTTAGAGCTGGTTAGTCGACTGACAGGATGCATCAGTCGACTGATGAGCTGATCGTTGTATTCATTTTCCATCTCATCAGTCGACTGGCAAATCAGTCGACTGGTCAGTCGACCGAAATAAAACAGAAATTTTTCGATGATTCCAGGCACATTATTCAGTCGATTGATGTCATCACTCGACTGATAATAGGTTTTCAGCCTGTATTGAATAGTAAAAACCAACTTTGAAGAGCTTTAAAAAAATAACAAATAAATTCTAAAAAATGAAAAACTTTGGGAAAAGTTTATAATCATGAATATGAACATGTTGGAAAAAGAATTTTTTAAATTGTTCTTTCCATTTGTGAAAACTCAGAAATATTCAAAAGTGCACAAATATATGTTTTTCAAATATGTTGATTTTGACATCTTAGCTTAAATCAAGTTCTGAAAACTTGTGTAATGTTTTTATGGATATAATAAAAGATATTAGCATGGTTTGTATAGTCCAAAACATATTTGAATGTATTTTGCATAAAAACACTTGTTTTCATGAAAATTCACAAATGTAATGTGTGTGTATATTTGAGCTTATAGAATTAACACACATTATATAATCCTATACTAAGTATACCAGAAAAGAATCTTCTGAAGCTTGGACTTGGATTGATTGACTTGATATGCATAGCTTCAATATATATTTGTTTTGCTCAATTTCTTGAATATACCTGTATATACTAAACAACACAAAACAAAGTACTGAAAACAATATTAGTTATAAATTGTTTGTAAAATCATTATCAAAACAAGAGGACCCAACACAAATTACCTACACAAATTACTGGAAATATTATCTCGAATTCTCTTTGTTTTATTTGATTGTTTTTCTATAATTAGATTGATATTCCTATTGGTTCTTAAGATTATTCTAGAAATAAATATTTAGATTCTTAAGATTATTTTATGGATATTTTAAAATCACTTATACATTTTTAATTTGGGGGAAGTTAGTCGTGGAGAATTTAAAATTAGAACTAGGATAATTTGTGAGAAAATATAGTATAAAATTTTATATTGTTAGTCAACTAGAAAGAGAATAAAATTTTACCGTGTTAGTTAACTAGAATTGTAACAAAACTAAAATTGGGATAATTATACAAAATTATCCTACTTTTTTTCATCTCTTTATGTAAAAATGAGAGTTTTAGTCTCTCAATTTATCCCAAGTTTTAGCGTGGAACTAGGTGGTAAAAACTAGAACTCTACTATTGTTCTCTTATTTTTTTATTTTTCATATTTCTTTTTTTTCCTTTATCTCTTTCCTCTAATGGTCATCATCATTGTTAGACCATGTTATCAGATCGAATCTCGTCTCTTCTTAATCATCTCTGCTATTTTTTTACCAAATATTATAATTATATAACTAATTTAAAAGTAAAGAAAGTATAGATTCATAATTTATTAAAAAAAATAAAATTGAGAGATGAGAGAGAGAGATCTGGGGTAGCAAAATAAGGAGGAAAATGTAAAATTTTTTAGACTTGTACTATAATAATAATTAAAAAATAAAAACGTTACACCATATATTACAATAATAATTAACAATATCTTATAGCCTAACCAAAAATTATTTAATTGTAATTAACATTCTAGTAATAACTCTAGTTTAAAATACATAAATAGTATTCATATTACCGATATGCATAAAATATATTCTTTATGATTATCATAAAATTATTCCTAATTATCCCACTAAAATATCCCACTAGCAAAAACTTGTCTCACTTCATCAGTTGTCCCAATTCTTGTGAAAATGTTCCAATTGAATGACACCTCATAAGTTAAATTTTTAATGCAAGCATCATAAGATTGAGGTTTAAGTGGAGATTGTTTAGACTAAATCAATATGTGAATGCCTTATATCTCATCTAATTGTGACATTTTATTTGATTGCTACACGTTGAAGGGTTTAACCCAATATACTCTTTAGTACATACCAAAGCTATATTTTTTTTAATAATAAAATGTCAATGTAAGATGACCTTGTTGGCAGGCAAAATCATTACAATTCCTACATCGAAAAGATATTTCCGGTATTGTGACTACACAAGGAGCGCAGATTTTTTAATATCATTTTTAATTTTTAAATATTGTAAACTAAGGAGGAATATGACAAAGGAGAGTTTGATGGTTAAACTCTCTAATTTTGAATTTGAAATATTGAAATAAAAACTATCCACTTGTTCATTTTAGAATCTAACTTTTTCTTTTTCTCTTTTTATCTTAGAATATTATAAATAAAGAGGAATATTGTAGAGGAGGGGTGATTAAGCTATCTGATTCTGAATTTTAAATTTTGAAATAAAAATCGTTATTTTAAATTTCTTTTTAAGTTTCAAATTATTTGAGGAAAAAGCTCTCAACTCGGTTTCTCTAATTTTCAATTATCCATATGTTATATGTTATTGGTATATGCTATTTGTATGATTATATCCATAAAAATAATAGAGTATATAGAAAAATAGAAAAGAAGAAGCAACAGATCAGAAAAATTCTGTTTAATTCAATTTAGAGTACATGTGTATGACTAAAGGAAAAACTCGTAGAGACTAAACAAATCCAACATAAAAAAAGAAGAAAATATTAGACCCATATCCTTCCCAGCTAACGATGCTAGTAAAGTTCCGCATGAGCAAAATACTTGGTATATGATTAACAACGATTTGGGGTGTAATATACAAAAACCATCTATCATTTTCCATAACATGCGCTCTCTACTTTCCATAGGCCATTGATTTCATAGACAAGCTACTTCGGTATGATCATCAGGAGAGGCTCACTGCAAAAGAAGCGATGGTACTGTGAAGTTACTACTAGATTCTCTTTGCTTGTGTGCTTCATCATCTCTCTGACAAGGTTTGCTTGTAAAAATCTGTGCAGGCCCATCCTTACTTCAATCCAATGAGAGTGGCAGAAAGCAGCGGAACTCGAACGCGGTAGCTTAGAATTTTGTTCACATTGAACAATGTTATTGCTTCCTGCGAGTTTTGTACCTTTTTATTTATTTGTTTGTGTTATTCGTGAATTATGCAATTATTTTTAGATATAATAAACATCTATAAATTAATTTAATGTTTCTGAACCGTAACTCTGATAATGCTACCGCCTTTCTCTTTTATTCACGACTATGGTGTGTTGCATTCATGTGGGAGGGTCTGGGATTCTGCAGTTTTATTGTCACATCGTACCTTTGGAGGCGTTTTGTCAACAATCGAATGTGGACAAATATTGGAAAGGAGTTCCCATTTCCATTATTGCTAAAACAAGTGGAAAACGATTGGAAAAATACTAAATTATCGAATTGGCATAAAATTGACATACTTTTATCAACAAGGCCTAAAAATCAACATCAGCTGACAACAAGATCAAATTAACATCAGGGACAACAAGATCTAAAAAAGTGATCTTGTTTAGCAACAAGGTATTTTCACTCGACGTTTTTTTGATCTTGGGCGCAAAAATAGATTTGTGATCGCACTTTTTATTTCCCCTTCAGTATCTTGCTGATTTCTTCTCTTAAAAGTAAGCATGTGCCCAATGTTGTTATTTAGAGAGGTAAAAAAACAGAAAGGCCTTCGTGGTAAAGCGAGTCACTTTTTAGGTTTTGTTGTCGTCGTCACTTTCTAGATCTTGTTGGTAAAATGATGTCACTTTTTATGCTAATTTGACAATTTAACTGATTGGAAAATAACTTCAAATTGGAGGACGTGCTAAAAAAGCAAATTAGAAAAGTCTTTTTGGTAAATTGGGTTAGTTTTTAGGTATGGTTGTCGCAATCACTTTTTAGACCTTGTTGGTAAAGCGGCAGTACTTTTTATGTTAATTTGACAATTTAGCCAATTGGGAAATAACTTCAAATCGGAGGAGATCATGTCAACATTTTAACTCTTTAAATTTCTCAAAATTTTGAGAAGCGGATCAAAAAATTTTTTTTTTTTTGAAAAATCTCACTGTGTTGCGTTTTAGAATAGTAAGCAATGAGAAATGGCTTTTCCTAATAAAATAAAAATTCCAAAGAGTCTCTTTTGGCTCAAAATTTTGACTTAAATTAATGCAAGCGATAGCCTAAGCCCATCCTTATTTTGAATTCCTACACAGCGTGGTCCTTAAAACACATAGGTCAGTGCCAAAATAGGCTGATGATAGCCCACCAAAAAGAGTCCGTCAGTGCACATCTCTTGTGCTCCATAGCATGGTTCAGTATTAAAGTTCGAGTTCATTGGATCTACAGTAACGTCAAGCCATTACCGTTCAAAATTTTGCTGGCCCGATCAAGCGTGTGGCTGCTATATCATGGTCCCAACTAATAGCTGCTAATCATTTTCGGGCTCACATAACTCATGGCCCAAGAGGGGAGACAACGGGGATCCGGATCTTGTTGTTGTCGTCAGATCAAAGCATAAGAGTGATCAGGTTAGAGTTTGATTTTGTTTCTGTGTTGCATTTTTCTCAAGGAGATTACTCCTCTTTATATAGGAGCCAGAACCCATTATCTACATCCCTCTCATAACCGCTCCTGAGATAATTTCTCTCAACAAACCCAATTTATCTCCACGTTCTTCTCAAACGAACGTTGATTTGGTCATCTTAGACCAGGTCAAGCTAACATCTCTAACTTGACCAAATCAACCAAGTGATATGCCTCCCACTATCCGTGAGATCAGATGTTTCTGCTTACCATTACTCCCACTATCCGTAGAGAGTAATTCTTATTTTATTATTCATGAAATTTTACTTGGACTTATTTATTCCTAAGTCCCATCAAACTTACATGTTTGATAAAAGATTCCGCTGGTATTCCTTTTGTCAAAGGATCAACAATCATATCTGTAGTAGGGATATAAGTCACTTTGACTTCTTCATTTTCAATAATATATCGAATATAGTGATACTGGATCTCAATATGTTTTCCTTTGGAGCTATTCGCACCACTATTGATTAAGCTAATTGCTGCTTGATTATCACAATAAATATCAATAGGTCATTCCAACAAATTGAGATCAAGATCAATCAAAAACCGTCTTATCCAGACAACATGTGTAGTTGCCATACTGCAAGCTATATATTCAGCTTCTTGCGTATATCTAGCAATACACCCTTGTTTCTTGCTACTCCAAGAAACAGCTCCTCCTCCAAAGATAAATAAGTGTCCCGAAGTGGACTTTCCATCATCTTTATCACCTCCGAAATCAGCATCGGAATAACCGAGGAGTTCAAGCGAATTAGCTTGATAAACTAATCTATGAGTCAATGTACCTCTAATATACTTCATAATCCTTTTAACAGCTTCCCAATGTGTTGGTCCTGGATTACTTTGATATCTACTGACTAGACTCGCAGCATAAGTTATATCAGGTCTGGTGCACAACATTGCATACATCAAGCTTCCAATTGCTTGAGCATAAGGAACATCTAATGGCTTCTGCCCCTCTCCAGGGCTTTGCTCTTTACATAATCTCTTTCCCATAACCAACGGAGTTGGTGCCGGATTAGAATTCTCCATTCCAAACCTTTTAAGAACTGATCTTAAATATTTTTCTTGGTTAGCATTCTAGACTTTCTATCTCGAATTATTTGAATTCCAAGAATGTATGATGCATCTCCCATATATTTCATCTCAAACTTTTCGCTGAGATCTGTCTTGGTTTTATTCAACATTTCTATGTCATTTCCAGCGAGTAATATATCATCCACATATAAGGATAATATAGTAAACTTGCTCCAACTTTTTAAGACATATACACAATTATCTAATTTATTTTGAATAAAACCAAGTTTAGTAACTGCATCATAAAATTTGAGATACCATTGTCTAGAAGACTATTTTAAACCATATAGAGATTTTATTAATTTGTAAACTTTATGTTCCTGTTCTTTCACCTGAAAACCTTCAGGTTGTTGCATATATATTGCTTCCTTCAACTCTCCGTTAAGGAATACAGTTTTAACATCTATTTGGAATAACTCCAAATCAAAATATGCAACAATAGCTAAAATAATTCTAATGGATGCAAATTTAGCTACAGGAGAATACGTCTCCTGAAAATCTATTCCTGCCTTCTGGTTATAACATTTGGCAACTAACCGTGCTTTGAATTTATCAATAGATCCATCAACACGATATTTCTTTTTGAGCACCCATTTGCATCCTATGGCTTTTCTATTTTCTGGTAGATCACATAACTCCCATACCTTGTTCTTTTTTATGGAATCAAGTTCTTCTCTCATAGATTCTAACCATAAAGCTGATTCATGCGATTTCATCGTATCAGAAAAGGTTAAGGGATCTTGTTCTTTTATATTTGTATCTACCGAAAAACAGGATGACTCATATGAATACAAATAGTAATCAGTCATCCATGAAGGTTGTGTTCTTGGCCTTTTGTTGCCTACAACCGGTTGATTAGGTACATTATTTTCCATAGGTATTTCATCATTTTTAAGGTTAGGTTCATTCACAACATCAGGGTCATTAGTGGGAACAACACTGTAATAATCATCATCTATTATAGTTAGAGGTTCTGTTTCTTCTTGAACTTGTTTCTCTTCCTCTAGATTCTCTAGAAATTTAGCATCTCTGTTTTCAATGACTCTTTTTTCTTTATTGTAGAACTTATAACCTTTTGACTTTTCTGAATACCCTATGAATCTACACTTTATTGTTTTAAAATCTAACTTATCTCTAAGTTAACATGGAATGAGAACATGGGCTATTGATCCCCACTTCCTGAGATGACTCAAATTAGGTTTCCTCCCATTCCATAATTCATAAGGTGTAGATATAACTGATTTGGTGGGAATTCTATTTAAAATGTAATTTGCAGTTAACAATGCTTCTCCCCAAAAGTTTTTAGAGAAACCAAAATGAGACAACATGCATCTAACTATATTTAATAATGTTCTGTTTTTTCTTTCAGCAACACTATTCTATGTGGCGTATACGGCATTGTTGTATGCCTTTTAATTCCATGCTGAATACAATAACTTTCAAATTCTTTAGAATTATATTCTCCGCCTCTATCAGTTCTCAAAATTTTGATTTTCAATCCAAGTTGGTTTTCAACTTCTGTCTTATATCTCTTAAAGTACTCAAAAGCTTCTAATTTTCTGGATATAAGATAGACGTGTGCAAACTTAAAATAATCATCTATAAAAGTAATAAAATATTCTTTATTACTATGAGTTTTGACACTTAGGGGACCACAAATATCCGAGTGTATCAACCCTAAAAGTTCATTGGCTCTCTGTCCGCCAATAAAAGGTTTTTTAGTCATTTTACCAGTTAAACAACGTTCACATGGAACATTAGATAGTGCAGGAAGCAAGTTTATTCTGATAATTTCTTTTATTTTTGAAATACTAGCATGTCCTAGTCTAGAATGCCACAATTCAGATTCAGAAATATAACAGGACAAGTACTTCAAATTCAAAATTTTATTATCAGAATTATTACAAACTACTGGAAGAATGCATAATTCATGCTCGGGTACATATTTTCCCATGGCATACATTTTATTATTCTTGCCTATAAAAACACTGTTATTATAGAACCTAACTTCCGATCCTTTCTTCATCAAGCTGGGAACAGAGATCAGATTGCGCCGAATTCCTGGCGCATAGAACACATCTTTGAGGACAAGAATGTTATCCCCAAGATCCAATCTATACGAACCAATACCTTCTACATCGAGATAGGTATTATTTGCCATATAGATTCTCTGTTCTCCTTTCTTCAGCTCGGTGAATTCTACGACTCCATTCTTGTCCTTTGCAATATGCCTAGTCGCTCCGGAGTCGATCCACCAACCACTGATGTTCGTCATCACAGCATTACATTCCGTCACACCGACGAATTCTCTTTTGCTAGTACCCCCTTGTTCTGGACACAGCATTACATTCCGTCACACCGACGAATTCTCTTTTGCTAGTACCCCCTTGTTCTGGATGCTTATATCCTCCCTTATTCTCCTGCTTTTCACATTGTAGGCAATTGGGTTTGAAATGCCCGTACTTTCCATAATTGTAGCAGGCTCCGCGGGGTACTTTCTTTCTCTTGAATTGCTGTGATTTCGATCCTCA